GGCGGAAGGGCTTCTGTAAATCGGGCGCAGGGCAGCAAGAGCGACAAACCCGTACGTTGTTCCGTGGCAGCAACGGAAGGAACGGTTGGATCCCAGGACAATGTGCAGGAAAAAGTGCGCAACCCAGCATTGTTCTCAGCGTGCGGTCGTCTGACTCTCCATGCATTGTGCATCTCGATCTGTACAGAAAACTATGCACGTATTCGCTGTTTATGAGGCAGACACAGCCCGGCGTGAATGGTGCAGATCATTGCGCAAGTCGGGGCGCGCATCTGACATCTCGTACAACCGCGGGAGAAAAAGACCCCAAAGAAAATAAAAATAAAAAATAGGAAAGCTGAGGGAAACAGTAAATATCTCAGCTGCACCTCCCTGCGCCGCAAGTGAGAAACGACAAAAGCCCGAGCTTGTCTTCTCGTCACATATTGGGGGCAGTGACAAAGTGAAGATCTCCGGCATGTACATTCGTATGTACATGGGGTCTCAGCAGCCTGTCTCAGAAGCCGGCAAGCGGCTGAAGTTGACTTCAAGAAAGGAGCAAGGGATTTCTGTACGACACTGACGACACCGCCATTCTGCCATCCTCACCCCCCCTTTTTGCTACCGTGGATCTCTCGTTCATCATCTTTTGATACGTTCTACGACATTCGACGGGCGCTTCCGTCTTTTCTTCGAGATGTTTTGGCAATACGGGGTACTGCCTTTGTCTTCATCACCAAAGGTGTTGTTTAACTTTGGCGAGCGACTCTATTCTGGATCGATGACCATACACTTGACAAAGTCGAGGATCCAACTAAGCAAATCTTTTCGGTGGAAAAGGAGACCAATCCAATTCGAGAAATATACATAAAAAAGCGAGACATGTAGGAAACAGAGAGAGATAGGACCTTTTGAAGCGGGTGAGCTGAACTGCCATGTCCTCGCCGCATGCGAGGCGAAATCACACCTGCAGATTGAAGGCGTGTCTTCTTTGCTTCGTATCATGGGCCCGTTTCGTGCAACAGTTTTGTAAATAAGGCACGAGGGCAACATGTGCGTGTCAAATCCCCCCTCCACCCATAAAGGAGCGAGCAAAGGAAGAGGGAAGATATAAAGAGGCAAGCCGACAAAGCGGAAACGCATAATACCGTGGAGCAAGCTTGATCGCCAACGCGGGTAGATAAAACAGCACGGGCTGCTCGCCAAAGGTGCGGCCGCCCGTGGCCCCCTCCATCCCTCCACTTCCCGTGCCGTTTCCTTGTGCCTCTTTTGTGTGTCCCTGATATCTTCTTTTCATGGCTGCCTCTGCAGCTCAACCGGCGGTCCCATTGTCCACTGTCGGCTACTGTTTCCAACTCTGTCTTGGCTCCCCCCAGACCAACGGCTTCGGTCGATCTATCTTGTCTTTCCAGCTAGCATCGATGCACCGACACGACCCCTCGGCCAGTCCCTCGCTCACAGAACATAATTTGCTGTCGCCGTCTGATAATGACACCCACTTACCTACATCTGACCCCTTGGGCTGCCGTCTGCTTGAAATGCGATGGAGGCGGGACGGTTAATTTGGGCCAAGGGGGGGTGTAGGATGCGGCGAATTGGGTGTGGGAGCGTGTTTATGTGGTACGACTGCATATGAGTAGAGCATCTTATTTATTTGCTCCGAAGAAACTGGTTGGGCAGAGAGGCCTAGTGTGAGGTGGGATGTGCTATCGGGAACACCACTACGTTCTCTACCCAAGTCATCATAAACAAGACGCCGCCACTGCCAGGCTTTTGCGTCCCGAGTGTTGTTGAGGCACAGCTGCATATTTACGTGTTTGGATGAGAGTGTGTGGGGAGATGTGTAAATTATAAATAAGGTGTGAACGAAACAGTCGCGAAGGCGTAAAGAGCATAAATATGTGCCTGGGAGCGACAGGTCTTGAATAAAAACGAGTCTCTGCATATAAGATGCCGGAGAGCGAATGGCAGCCATGTCGGGCACCAGTCGTTGACAAGACCATGAGCCGTCTGGCAGCAATGACGATGATGTAATTCAAAACAGCCGGGGAGCTCGGTGCAACGTTGTTTGAACAACGCTCACTTTTACGGACAAACCTACGTCTGATATAAAATGACAAAACATGACGAGGCTGTGCGACTGATGCGCGGGAGGACAGTCAAAAGGCACTCACTTTGCCACCAGCTACCAGCCTGTTGATACACGCAAGGTTGTGGTACGCTACGTCTGAGTTGGCCTTGTCAAACCATACTTGCAGAAGCATACAGTCAAATCCCTACGAGAAGGCCTTTTTACGACGTACTTAACAACGACAGGCGCACAAGGCTGACGGCCCAAGAGCTACGTGGGTGAGAAAGGCGGCAAACGGTTTGAGACAGAAGGGTGCCTCCAAAAAAAAAAATGTTGTCCTGGATGATGGACCTCAACTTTCACTTCTTTACACAGAAAGCCGCGGTGAGTAATAGGACGCTTCAATCTTCCTAAGTACCAAAATTGAAAAACACCATGGGAGCGCGGCGTAATTCAGAGTGTAGACCAGGAGTAATGCAAATGTGCGCAGAACAGGGGCACCATGGGGGCTGTTGGTTTTGACACGGAAAGAAGCAATGGCATGAGCGGATGCCGTCAGGTGAAAGGCAAGGACATGTCGAGACAAGAGAGCTTGAAATAACAGCATCAAAGTGCAGTCGCCCATGCCCGATTTCAACTCCTGTCTCGATGATCGTGTCCCACCCTCCATCGCTTTGCTTCGCCCGGCCCGTCCAACTTTAAACCTAAAGGGAATGCGTTTGTCGAAGAAACATCGGATATCGCAAAATCACCGAGAGAACCTGTAATAGAAAAAGTTTGTTTTTGCACTTTTTTTTGTTTGTATCTTGTCTCGTTTTTCGTAGTTGCTCCTTTCCTTTCCTTTTAACTTCCTTTTCTGTTTGCTGGTATGGTAAAATAACATTGAAATCCGGTATAAAAATTTCTTACTGCCGAAAAGCGAAGCTAATGTCTCCTGTTTGTCGTCGTTTCGTTTCTGTTTTGGTGGGCGGATGAATCGAAGAGGTTCGGGAGAAGTGCCTTCCTTTCGGCGAGAGAGTGAAAAGAGGAGCGTGATAAGTAGGCCGAGGGAGAATGGCGGAGAGTGAGAGAGAGGGAGTAAAGAAAGAGGGAAGAAAATTGGTCCGGGATGAAGAGCAAACCCAGAAAAACACAACGAGAAGAGTCTAGGTAAAGGAGAAAATCCTGAACTCCTTTCCATTTGTTTCGGAATGCCAAGAAACCCGTTACACAACGTTTCCGTCCCCACCTGCGTCAAAAGTCAAAGTCGTCGACCACCTTTTGTATCTTGAAAAATTTGTCGTATTGTCATTTTTTTCTCTTTACTCCTCGGGAATGTCAATCTCGCCGGCATCGATGGCCTCGATCACGTCCTGTGGCGGCTTGCCGTCGACCTGGCAGCCGACGGAGAAGGCAGTGCCGAGAATCTCCTTGACAGTGCCCTTGAGCTCCTTGGCAAAAGACTTGTAGCGCATTGTCCGGGCAATGTCAATGACCTCGTCCAGAGGAATCGACTTGTTGTGCTTGATGTCCTTCTGCTTCTTGCGGTCCCGTGGGGGCTCCTTCAGCGCGCGGATGATCAGAGAAGACGCAGTCGGGACAACCGACACAGCGGCTTGCCGGTTTTGGATCGTGAGCTTGACGGTCACGCGCAGACCCTTCTGTAGTGTGTGTTAGCCACTGTATCTTTGGAGTCTTTGAACCGTTGATTCGTTCTGGTCCCCCTCCTTCACATCCTCAATCGCGATCCCTGCCCTTGTCTCCGAGTGTCGAAAACTCGGACCGCAACCATGCCGCCTTCCGGTGCAGCCTCCTTCCTCTCCATCGCGTCGTCAACGTACCCAGTCACCAGTGGCCTTGGCGATATCTTCGCCGACCTTCTTGGGGGACAGACCCAGAGGACCGATCTTGGGAGCCAGCGCCGAGGAGGCGCCGACCTCACCACCCGTCGCTCTCAGGTGGCTAATTCGCAAACGTTAGTATTTCCAGTCTCTGTTTTTTCTCTTTTCTCGCTGTCTTTTCAATATCGTCGCGGATAGTCGTGGGGAAATCGTCGACAAGACAGTTTGTCGCTGGAAGGAGGTGGGAGGCAGGGAGCGGTGCATACATGATCTTGATCTCGTTGGGGTCGACCTTCGGCGCTGCATATTGTTAGAAGACGCTCGCAATTGGATGACAACATCGACTGTCGTCGACGATGAAAGGTCGACATGGATCGACGACAGGACCGAAATCGGGAGAGGAAGCAAGGATAGGGCTGGACGTACGCATTTTGACGGTTTGTTGTAACGAAAAAAATGCACTCTGGCAGGTGTGATGATTATCGTGGGAAGGTGAAGAAGAAGAGCCGTTTTGCGGGATGGTCGACAACGAAAAAGAACGAGGAGACTGTAAAATCCTCAAATCGAAACGGGGGGTGGTGAGGACCAGGGGGAAAAAAATTACTGCCAAAAAGGCTACTGCCCTCCTAAAAAATCCATACGGGGCTTGCGATTTGAGGAAAACAGTGGGGCCCTGGCTGTTGCGCGGGCCAGCAGGCAAATCCGGCGCAGAGAACGAGGGCGCAGGAAAAAAATTCTGTGCGGTCTTCAGGGCTGAGTGGGGTACAATAATTTTTGACCTTTCCAAACCAGCCAATGAGGAACAAGATTGCTTCTTGTTCAAGACCAAGCCACATGTGGCTTTGCTTATGTAATGAAACGCTAACATGAACGCATCAGTTCCGAAGCGGATGCAATACTTCTGTACGGAATACTTCTGTACGGGCAATACTCCATACTCCCCTCTGGTACAAGAGCTTCATTTTTAAAGGGCTTGAAATACAAAGGCAACTCGTATGATGAATGAAAACAAAACTAATCCTCCCGCTTATTTTTTTCTCCGACTTCTACAAAGGAGGCTACAGGACGAAAAAATGAAAACGAAAGGAAAGCACAAAGCAACACTTCTCTATACAAACCGCCCAGTGTCATTAGTTCGTGCCGCTCACAGCCAGCTTCATCAAATGGTCCATAAAGGTCTGCAGCGACACGTCATCGGTGAAGATGGTCTGCGCTGTCTGGGCGCCGACGCCACCATAGGCACCCGTAGTGTGTGTCGTCGACGGGTTCAGCTTGGACAACAGGAAACGGGCCTGCGAGCCACCAGCGTCACAAACAATGAACCGAGGCAGAGGGAAACGATCCGTGATGAGGTCCTGTGGTGAGTTAGAAGACATGGCACAGCGGAACAAAAAACAACGTTACAAATCAAGGGCAGGGCAACATACTCTTGCGTCTTCCTTTGGCTGCTCCAGTAATGCGGCAAAGTTCTCATAGCCCTCCTGGTTCTGGTACCCGGCTTTCCGCCACTGGGCGACGGTCTCGCCGTGGAAGATGAGGATGTGGAAGAAGGTGTCGAGGAGGAGGATGTGGGTGGGTTGGATGGAGGCCGAGTCCAGGAGCACGGGCAGGCCGCCGTCCTGATCAAAGGTGTAGGAATCCAGGGTGGGCTGGATCATGACCAGTGAATTGCTGACGTCCTCATGGTTCAGCACGTGCCGATAGAACGCGGTCTCATCGGGCGAGTTGTTAAAGACCTGCAGGAACTGGCTTCGCCGCAGATGGAACATGAATTGTGGGTAGAGGGTGAAGTTTTTCTCCAGGCGGAAGGAGGACGGGTCGTCTTTCCGGTAGTCGGCGAAGCGCGAGCACAGGCGGATCAGCATGCGGTCGACCCAGCGCAGGACATCCGGGCCGTCGTCGACCTCGGCCTTGAAGACGGCAATACGCGACATGAGCACGGCAGCCGCTTCCTGGTCGAACGAGTGGGCGAGGGTGGGGTCGCCGGCCGGCCCGCTGAGATTCCGGGCAATGGTGGTGACGCGGAGGTGGAACTGGCCGGACGAGTGCTGGTAGTAGGTCAGGAACTGCATCATGCCTTTCTGCGGGCCCTGCTGGATCTGGGACGGGCCGCCCTGGGCAATCTCAAAGTAGATGCCGTAGCTGGCGCTCGGGTCGATGCCGCACATCTTCCATGCGCACGTGTTGCCCATGCCGATCTCCGTCTCGCCCACCGACGTCGACTTCTTGTTGAGGGACACACCGTGGCCGATGAGGCCCGTGACCTTGAGCTCCTTTGTGGTCAGCACCTCGAGGACCGCGTTGAAGCCCATGAGCAGGTTGTCGTCGCCGTCCTTTTCAAACACGCGCACAAACGACTGCTTGAACATGGCGGACGTGAAGCTGTCCGTCAGGATCATGTGGCCGCCCGTGGAGTTGCTCAGCCCCTTCATTTCGAGCAGACCGACCTGGTCCAGACAGCCGGCGAAGATGTCGATGATGTGGCCGTTGTGGGCGGTGCGCTTGGCCAGGTTGTCGTAGAACTTGAGGGCCTTCTTGTAGTTCTTGGCGCTGTCGCGGTCGATGTCGTGGTGCGAGCGGATGGGCTCACGCAGCTCGGGGCCCACGACCATGCCGGGGCCCTCGGTGGCCGGGCCACCGGTGAAGACCATGACGCGGGCGCCTGAGTTCTGGAAGGAGGACTCGAGCAGGCTGACGGCGACGCTGATGGCCACACCGGAGCAGCGCAGGCTGCGGCGGTCATTAGCGACGGGCCAAGGGTCCTTTTGGAGCTGCTCGAGGGCCTTGGTGAGCTGGAACTCGCCCTGCTGGACGGGGAGCAGGAAGCGGGCGGCGGGGCCTAGGGGCATGTTGGGGCGGCCAGGCTGCATGCCTGGGCGCATGATGGGCTGGCCGAGGCCAAGCATTTCCTGGACCTGCTTCGGGGTGTACTCCTTGCTGCCACGGAACACGTAGGACTTGGCGCACTCGGCGTAACCGATCTCGTGGACTTGGGTCTGGGGTGGAGGGTGGTGTTAGCACAAGGGCGCACTCGCTATAGACTCAAAACAACGTACCATGGTGCCAAAGGTGATGAGGCCGACCAGGGCGTTTTCAGGCAGCAGGCTCAGGCTCATGACCAGCGACTCCTTGAGGGCCGCCAAGCTGTCCTCCTCCTGGCACATGTCGACAACATAGAGGAAGATGGGCGGGTTCTGGGCCGGGCGCGACAGCCGGTACTCGATGGTGGTGTTAGACGGGTGCAGCTCGGGCGGGATGGCGTTGGCGGTGATGTCCTTGTAGTGCGGCGGCAGCGGGTTGCGCGACAGACAAAAGGGACAGACCCAAAGGCGGGCACGCACGTCGACTTGGCTGTTGAAATTGGGGTTGGGGTTAGCATCATTCCTCCATGCCCACTCGTTGCGTTGCTCGCAATACCAATCCCATACCAGTCTCACTCACCAGAAGGGGTTGAGCACGGAGCGGCAGGGCTGCTTGCAGGTGACGGGCTCAAACTGCAGCAGCGGCGTGTCGGGCTTTTCCTTGAGCGGCGTGTAAAGGGCGCCAATGGGAACGACGAGACGCGATGCTTCCTGTACGCGAGACGATACGAAGGCACGAGCCGGTTAGCCAACGGCACATAAAATATCAAAGGGGCTCAAAGGGGCGGCGGTACTGCCGATCAAAACAGCACCATGGCTGTAGCAAACTCACCATGCGCGTGCTAGGGAACACGTTCCAGCTCAGGCGGACACCATCACGATCCTCGACCTCGCTCCACTGCTCCTTCAGAGCTTCGTAGTCCATCTTCAGCGAAGGGGCGGTGGGAGTCTTGCTTTATTTCACGGTCCGGTAGGCAAAGGGGGGGTATGAATCCGGTCGCGGCGTGTGGCTTTGTGTGTTGAGCAACCGGACAAGGGGATATCGGCATGCGATAGGCGAAGGACGAGACAGGTAGGAGAGCCGCGGTATCTTGAATCGGGCGACAATGTCAGGCGATGATGCGTCAACCGTTTCGTTCGACAGAAAGGACGAGTCGAGCAGAGAAAACGACGAGATGCAGCTGCAACGAGCGAGCAAACAGGAAAAGTGCAAATGGCAGGCAGCAATGGACGACGGACACTGCACCGGGAACAAGCTGCTGGGAAGCAATGGGACAAGTGTCTAGTAGGGTCGTGGGGAGCAGGAAAGGGGAGGAGGAGAGGCGGCGACGACAGCGGCGGTGATGGTTGGATGGCGATATTGTGTGTGGAGTGGGTTCCTTCCCGTGTTGGGCGGTCGAGGCCAGTTTGGTCTTCTGGGCTGGACTCTGCTGGACTGTGGCGCAAAGCTCTGTGTTGGTGTCTCTTGCCCCTCTTGGTGCAGCTCTTCAGGGGTGGCGGGGGCTGTCAACAGGGCCTGTCAACAGAAGGCGCCAGCAACTTGGTATGCAGTCGTAGTTTGCAATTAGGAGGGGAGTAATTACACAGCAACCGTCGCTACAGGGGATCCGAGAGCTGTAGCAGCGTGGCGTCTGCCTGTGGCTCAGCAAATTCGGGAGGACAACAAGGTGAGCTAAAAGTGGGTCTACAAACAAGCCAGCTGTTATCATTTTAGTGGGAAAGACACAGGGGAGGAACGGGGAGGAACGGGCGAAAGTCACATGTTCTGCTCTCCGAAGGGCTCCGCCAATCCCAATGGCGGGAGCAGCCCAGCCTCGCCTTGTCGTCGGACGGAATTTGGCTCGTCTTACAGGATGACTGCCAACGTGCTTACGTGCTCTCACTTACACGACGACACCTGCCAAAGTAGTGCATGTTGTGTTTATAATTGCTCTTTTTTTGTTGTTTTTATACTCCAAATTTAAAATTTCCGATTGCATCACCAAAAGAGAACCACATGCTGCTCTCTCTGTAGGAGAGCACCACCTCGACTAGAAATCCCACCGGCCGAACATACAGCAAGCTACAGCGTGCGGCTTACAGCAAGGGCTGGATGAAGGTGTAGGCCGTGTAGGCAGACGCTAGCTTCAAGGCCACATCGAGGACGTAGTGAACGGTACCACTTGTTGTATTAGCAAAATGTTCTCGACGAGTCCGGCCACTGCTCGATCTTTGGACAAAAGACAGGCACGTAGGGTAACTAAGGCACAGGAGGCACAGAAGAACTTACATGTGACGGCCCTTGGGACCGTTCTTGACGTAGCCGCGAGCGTACAGGACACGGGCAATGGCCCAGGCGACGCCGGCGCTGGCGCTCAGGATGGGGAACCGGAGGCCGCTGATGAAGAGGGCGCCCAGGAAGGTCGGCAGGTTCTCACCGAAGTTGGCATGGGCTCTTTGGGCTGTTTGGGGACCTAAGTTAGCTACTGACGCGAGGCAACGCAGCCCTGGCCTGCCTTTTCGGAGCAATAAAGGTGGCAGGGTCGCAGACTGGCGGAGGGCAGAAGGACAAATACGGAGAGACATACCACAGTTAAACTGGAAGGCGGCGTTGTCCTTCTGGGCGAGCTCCGCGCTGGCGTAGCAGTTGGGGTACGGGATCTTGGCGGCCCTGCGGTAAGTGCCGGTCAACATGGAGTGGTAGGCGTTGACGAAGAAGATGGCCGTGGCGGCGCCGAAGACGTAGCTATTTGGAGACGTGTGAGCTGGTGCAGGGCAACGTAACGATAGTCGCAGTTGCAGGGAAACGGGAAACAGGGACGACAAGAAAGAGGCCAAACAGACAAAGCAAGAGTGAGTAAACAAATGCGAGAAAGGACCTACCCATATTCGGCCGGGACTTGGATGGTAAGAGACATGATGCAGCTTTTGGAACGTATGTACGATGCTGGCTAGTTTGCAGAACAAAACGAGATGCTAGTTGAATACTGAAGATGGGCAAAAGGTAAAGAAGTCCAAGAACCAGGTAAAAAAAAGAGTAGCAAACAAGAAGCAGAAGTCAAACCTCGGCCTAGAGGGAGTGGAGGGCTGGCCGGCTGTTTAATATTCAACGACGTGGAGGCTACAAAGGGGCGTCTAGCCGCTGTCTCTTGCCTCATGTGCCGAATGAAGGAAAACGGAGCCCCGAAATATGAAAACAAGTCTTGTCTGTGCGGCCCTCGATTTCCCAAACCCCTAAAGGTAAAGACGTCCCCAAAACGACGGGTCGAGCTACTGGCTCGCCCTGGTGGCGTCGGGGCATTCGCTGGTTGAGATTTAGCGAGCCGCCAATGGCCCGTGGCGCGTAGTACGGGTTCAGGCATAGGCTTCAGGATGGCGTAAGTGCCTCTTAGAAAGTTGCGCCGCCGAGTGTACGACATGTATGTTTTGCCTAGACACGGTGTGCGGCTCATAGTGACCCCCAGTTCCTGCCAAAAAAAAAAAGGTAACACCCACGGACGGACTGACTCGCGCTCCGTTTGCTCCCGCTCCGACTCGCCAAAGCGTTACACGTAGTACACAGACTTGGGAAGGTGCGACTCTACGGACGTCGTCGCGGCCACAATACGAGGCTGTCTCATGACTTGCTGTGTAATGTAAGAATGATAGCTTGCTCTTATTAAAGACCCGAATGGCCTCTCCTCTGTCCGTTATGTTCAGACGGCTTCATATTGTGTTTGTTTCTCGTCGCTGATCGCTTGGTGCTTTGTTTTGCAGTCGTTTGCAGCAGGGACATATATTCGTCCGAATCGCCGACGGGGCGGACAGTTTTTGCTCTTGCCCAATCTGGTGTTGAAAGCCCCCAGACTTGCAGTGCGCTCCTGCCGCTGTCTCCCTATGGCACGCGGTTCCAGAGCAAAATGGAACACCATAAGGGGGGCCGGTCGCAGCAGGCGCGGAAACAAGCCGAAAGCCTTCTTTATACTTCTGTGGTTCCGCCGCTCCAGTTAAATTGGCATTGATTTTTCAGCAAGGCAGGAAAAGTCTCCGGGTGAGGGATGTGTGGATCGGCAGATGTATGCGATGTTTGCCATGTTTGCCATGTGTATCGTCTCACAAGCTGTACGTGAAAAAAATGCGCGAAAAAGGGCAATGCGATTGAATGAAAATATCAACGCCAAATACAGCATCTCGTGATAGCCAGGGACAAGGCTGTGATGGCAAGCTAGATAATGACCAGGCTGCGGCAACGTGTCACTCGAAAACCTTAAATCGACAGTGCTTATTCGCTCCGTCTGGAGCCTCGTTGTCTGGCGTTGCCGCATAAGCACAACGGGCGCAAATGGCAACTCCAATGGCGTGCTTACGGACACGCCTGGCGCCATCGCAGCGCACCCGTACTGCCCGTCCACATGCCTGGTCAGGTTAGGCAATGTTTTCCAACACCAGCCGGCTCATCCCGCTCAGTCAACATCTGATCATCCAGTGCACCGCTCGTTCGGCGGACGAAACTCCAGCCCAAGCGCGTCAAACACACGCCGCTCGGCTGTCAGCATATCCGGCGCAGGGTCGCCCCCATAGTACCCTTCCAAGTCCACCACCGATCCGTCCGTTCTGCTGCGCGCGCCGCTGCTGTCGAAGCGCAGGCCCTTTTCGTACTTGCAATACCGCCGCAGGTCACGTTGGAACGTCGTCCCACTGGACCAGCCGAGCACGGCGCACCCGACTGTCTTCCACGGCGACACGATAATGTCCACCCGACGGTGTGGGTTGGTGTTTTTTTTCTTCGCTGGTTCCGCATCTGTTTTGGCGTCCTCTTCCCCGTCTTCCGCTTCCATCGGCTCCTGCCAGACCACCAGTGCTTTGTCAAGTGTGTCAAACCCGCCACCGCCGCCGCCGCCGCCGCCGCCGCCGCTTTGCGAGTCGAGGTTGTGCTTGGGCGCATTCCCTTTCCAGCTCACCGCCTCTTGGCCGCGCTCCGAATTGGCTGTGCTGAGTGTCAGGGTATGCGTCACCAGCCCGGCCTGCTCAAGCGATAGAACAAGCCGTCCAATGAAGAGATGTGTCGCCGCCTCGTCTGGGTGGCTGATGAGAATGTCGACGTCGCCGCTGAGCTCCTTACCCCGGCGGTAGCCGCCCACAATCACCATCTGGAACCCCTCCTGCAGGTTGGTGGCGTGCTGCAACACCCGATCGGCAATGGCTTCGACTTGCACGCGCGTCAGCGGGTCCTGCAGTTCGTCGTAGTACTTGACGCCAATCTGCTGCACCCGCGTCAGCTCTGCCCAGCCGTACTCGATCACGTCGTCGAGGTCCCGCCAGCCCTTGTTGTAGAATGCGCGTGCCGTGGTATCGGCCACGCCCCAAATGTTGTAAAAGAGACGCAGGACCGCCAGCCGCGCGTCGGTCTCGTCGGTCTCGGCTTCACGCACGTGCCCACCGTTGGCCTGGAACTCGCGGAACAGCTCGGCCGTCTTGGGCCCGCACCCCCGCAGGCGGCTGACTTCGCGGGGCGTGGACAGCTTGTACGGGTAGGCGGCGATCGTGGCAATGGCCGTCGAGTACGCCCGGATGCCAATCTTGTCGCCCGTGAGCTGCCTCGCCACGCGGATGGTCTTGAGCGCGTCGACAAACTTGTCGTTTGGGCAGTGCACGGGCGTTGACCGCTGGCACGAGTAGGTGGTGTGCAAAAAGTCGGGGATGGGTGGTAGCGTTTGCATCTCGTCCATGTCCGAAGTCGACTGCCGAATCAACGACGGCCGCGGTAGTGGTGCTCCGGTGTCGAGCTTAGTCCTGCGTGGCGACTGGAAAGGCGCGCTGCCGTGGCCGCCAGCAGCCGCAGCGTCGGCCTGTGCGCGCTGCAGGATGTCGTCCGACCTTGGCACTGGGGATGAGAATGTGGACGGCTCTACTGTCGGCTCTGGCTGCACCCTACGGCCTTCGTAGACCATGTATCCGTCGTCCAAAGGGAGGACCTCGCCACGAGCGACCGAGTCCGTAAACCAAGAAAGCTTGACTACTTTCAGAATGGGCTCTGGTGGTGCTACAACCTGGACGCCGTCGTCGTCCGACGAGCTCGATATGACGATCGGCACCGGAGATCGGCCACCGAGCTTCCTCCGTTTTGCAGCCGGAGGGGCAGCAGCCGGCGTTCGCGTTGGCGCAGACCTGGCCCTCTTTCCGGGCTTTCGCAGTTCAATCGTCGCAATGCCGAGGCGCCTCAGCTCAAACTGGGCTCTCTCTTTGTTCGACAGCGTGCCCAAAAAGATGTCCGCTTTGCTTGCGTCGGTCGTTAATGATGGGATCTGTTTCTGCAGCGTTTCAAACTCGTCTGTTGGGAGGCGGCCTGGTAGCAAATATATGCTAGGGAAGGTGAGTTTGCCTGCCATTGTGTCTTATGCATGGCGTCGCACACGCGGTATGTCTCTCAGCGGTATCCCTTGTCTCGAGACAGGTGGGATGCCTTCACCGTCGTCATTTTCAAGTGCCTGGGTCTGGGTCCAAACAAGATACGGCAACGAGGCAGATGGCGGGAAGTGCGCTATGTAGGGGTGCAGAAGATGTAAGGGTGGTTATTTCGACTAAACACGGGTTGAAACAACATCTAGAGCAATCACGAAGCATGCAGGTTGTGGTGAGTTCCTACGTATAGGATATAACGACTAAAAGATACTGGTGACGCAGATGTGTCATTTGTGGGTCCGATTACGACAAGTGAAGGGGAGAACTGCCCTCCAAATTAACGCTTCCAGGAGGACATGTTAGGTCAGTCCAGGTACCTTTTAGCGGTTTACAGTGGACTAGCCAGGCCCACGCCAACAATTATCTGCTAAACGGGCAGAAGCTGGATAGTGGTGCTTCCCCCCAGATCCACTTACATCTTCTGTTATTCCAACGATAGTAGTTCCTGTTTGGTAGTTGCAAACCGGCTTGTTTTACGCAGTCGCGCCTTCCCCGCGAGTATTTCTTGCCTCAGTCGCAGCTTCTGTAAATGCTTCCATCCCTCAAAACGTACAAGGCAAGAGCAAACGCGCGTTTTGTAGAGAGGCAGGCTCCCAACTCTTTCGTAGGGAAGGAGAAAGCAACTCACTCTTGCCTCAGCCGTTGTAGCCACCAAATACGACACAGCGCGTCAACAGTGCAGTCATCCTCTTGCCGTGTGCTGTTGGTCTGTTTTTGGCTAACCCAATCCACTCGCCTGCTCCAGGTGGCTCCTCTTTTGAGAGTCCCCACTTTTCCTGCGCAGTATTTTGCCTCCCTTTTTCTCACTCTTCGCTCTTCCTCCTCAACCTCTGGCGTTTGTGTCTGCTGTCATACTCTCCTCCATCGCCATCATCGTCGAAGGAAGAACAGGACAACTCACACGATCAATCGCATCAAGAGCAACATGGCGAGTACAGCAATGGACTACGAGCCCACCAACGGTGAGCGCTTCGAAGGTGCGTTTTGTGGCCTTTTTGGGGGTTGTTTTGCAGGCTTTTTTTCTTGTTTTGGGACGTTTTTTCGCGATCCTTGCGTGGCACATCGCCACTGCACATCGAAACGACGACACATCACGTCTTCTATCACACTCATCTTATTTATCTCTCACGCTTCAAATGCTAACTTCCATCCAGATGACGGTGCTCGGTACGAGCGCGACGAGCAGCGCAGTGCTTCGCCGCGTCGCGACGAGGGCCAGGAGAGTGCCCCCCGGCGTTCTGCTTCCCCTGGCACTGCCGGCGACAGGTACGATACGTTTCCTGCATCTTTCCATTCCAGAGCATTCGACGGCACTCAGTCTAACGATACCTCCGTCGCAGACCCAAAGACAATGGCGGCTCGCGTTCTGGCGATGCCGATGATGACGGTGCAGTCAACCCCGGCTCCAACCTTTTCGTGACCGGCATCCACCCGCGCCTGTCAGAGGCTGAGGTGTCGCGCATGTTCGAGAAGTACGGCGAGGTTGAAAAGTGCCAGATCATGCGCGATCCCCACAGCAAAGAGTCGCGTGGTTTCGGCTTCGTCAAGATGGTCACGTCGGAGCAGGCCGATGCCGCTAAGGACGGCCTTCAGGGCGAGGTCATCGATGGCCGCTCGCTCAGCATTGAGAAGGCCCGCCGGGCCCGCCCCCGCACGCCCACCCCTGGCAAATACTTCGGTCCCCCGAAGAGAGGTATGTAGCTGGCACTCTCTGAATTGATTTCCGTGTCTTTTCTTGTTGTCTTGTCACGCGACACTTGACTAACATTCTCGTCATCATAGACCCCCGTGGTGGCGGCCGCTTCGACAGAGGTGATGACCGCCGCCGTGGTGGTGGTGGTGGCGGTGGTGGAGGTGGCTACAGCGGTGGCTACGGTGGTGGCCGTGACGACCCTTACCGGTACCGTGGCTACGACCGTCGCTACGAAGAGCGCGGCGGTGGATACGACCGCAGCTACCGTGACGACCGCGGCTACGATCGTGGTGGTGGCTACGACCGTGGCTACGACCGTGGCGACCGCGGTGGTGACCGTGGTTTCCGTGATGACCGTGGCGGTTACGACCGTCGTGACCGTGACGACCCGTACGGTGGCAGCAACGGTGGTGGCCGCGGCGGTGACCGCGGCGGTGACCGCGGCGGTGACCGCTACGGCGCTCGTGAGGACCGTGACCGTGGCTACGGTGGCGGTCGCGAAGACCGTCGTGGTGGTGGATACGACCGTGGTGGTGACCGCGATGGTCCCCGCTCTCGCGACCCTGCTCCCACCGGCCCGGGCGGCTACGGCGACAGTGCTCCCCGCGACCGCGACTACGGCCAGCGGTACGACACCTCCGAACAGAACGCTTAAACGTTATACGTGTCAAACATCTGCGCTAACGCATCTCTTGCGCTCTCCGACAGGGCTTAAGTGTTCCGTTTCCGATCAACTGCTGTGTCGCTTTCGAATACAATAATCCAAAAAAAAAAACTTAATTGCACGAATGTAAGCCCTGATTTGGCTCACGCAACCCAACTCCCAGCCCTGTCCAACAAACATCACCTGTCTGGACAACGCAATTGCACTACGCGCTTTATCATATTCTCGTCTCTTGTTTATTTGCACACTGTACTATTTTCTATTTCCTTTTCCTACCCGACACTCGGTTTCCGATCAATTTGTCATCAAAATTTTCGAAGATGGGGATGCGTTTACGAGTTTCTTATTTGCGGTACTTGTCTCTGAAAACGGAACTGAATAATAGGCACGAGACGGCCGGGCATAACATGTCCTCGACCTGCGAACGGCAGACTCACGGCTTCGCTTATAACTTCGGTTTCTCACGTGGTCCTGGTTTATTTTCGACGCATTTAGTTTCCTTTCTTGATTTGTTATCTGTTCTGTTTTTTTCTTTTCTGTTCTCTGTTTTCTGGTTTTCTTTTTCTTTTTTTCGTCACTTACTCTGTTCTTTCGATTTTCAAAGTCACGATCGGCGGACCATGGCATCCGCAATAAAAGGGGCGATATTTCTTTTCGACATGAAAGCAGATAGTACGGCGGACAAAGAAAGCAGCAGCAGTAATTCAGGAAGCAAACGTCAGAGCAGCAAAATCAACAAACGCAGCACGGATCAGAGCAGCACACAGAAAGACAGAAACGCAGAACCGCACAACCGCAGCGGCAAGGATCAGCAAATGTCAGCAAGGCAGCTTTTGTTCTTTTTTTATCCTAGTCGTCGTTCATCAATTTTCAACCTCGTCCCATGGAATGCCAGTACCTCGCCCCAGTTCAACCACGCGTTCGGCGACATATTCTTTAAGAGCTTCTTCCCGCACATCCCAGCCCAACCATCTTCCTGGCCTCTCGTTGCTTGCCGCCTTTCCACAGTTTTGGTTCTCGCTCGCTGTCCTTTGACATTCTAACCCCCTCCCCTATCCCGCCTCGTCGCACTTTCCCGGCCCCATGTCACTGGTCGCGTCTTTTATGGCCCTTGACTGTACGAATATGTGTACGAATATCCGAATATGTGTACAGTGTCTCGCCTAATGGCTCGCCGCATTGAGCTTCTCTATTTCCAATTGCCATTCAACATCTCGATATGCTCTCCCTCCGTCAAGACTGTTTGCACAGTGCACAGTCGTCGTTTTCGTTCTCGTCGCCAAGGCACTTTTGCCTGTCACCTGTGCTCACTTAATCTTTCAATCAAAATCAAACGCATCTGTGCCACCCAATCCGCGCTGCACGTAGCCGCCAAACAATAAATTGCGGAAAACCAACTCTCTTCATCGCCCCCAATAACACGCCATAAACGTCATTTTTTTGGTTCATTTTTTCTGGTTCTCCTCACCGCCAGTTTCTAGAATCCCAAACAAACGCCCGTTGTCGTGATTCAGAAACCTCCGCATCGTGAAGATCAATACAGCCGGCTCTGGGCCAACCGTTCACCCCATCGTCTCATCCTCATTCTCTCTTCTTTCGCCCGGTGTCACCCATAGGCGTGGCCAGCAAGCCTCGTTTTGTCTCTGCCGCCCCTGTTGGTTCTCTCCCGTTTGTCACAATTGGTCGCACTTTTAACCAACATTGCCCCTCATGCCGACGAGCTGTCATATAGCCGCAACAAACACAGCCAACATGCCCCGCGCCTGTGGAAATGGATGCATGACAGACGGCACATAGTAGACGGCAAACGGCAAATGGCAGACGCCAAAAAAAGCGAAGCAATAAAGTGCCTTTTGTCGCTCCTGCACAGCAGCAATCCATGCCGTGAGGATCGGCCAATAAACTTCCGAACGTACGCGACCGCGCGGATGCACGTCATTATTTTTTTTTTATCACCACGGGTGAAACAAATGAATTTGCTGTCGATTTATACGCCGACATTTGGCAAACACCTCTCAAGCTTGCAGCCTACAGCACACAATCACGGGTACTCGTTGCGATCGCCTCTGACAAAAGAATGGTCACACAAACCGACAGAGACCCGCTGTGACACACCTCCCTTTTCTCTTTTTTTTGCCCTTTCCGGTATATTATTGGTTACACTAACAAGACAGGTTGATATGCATCCTCGCCTCTTCGGGGAAGACCAGGTAAGACAAACGCTTTGGGGCGTGTTCGTCTCCCAACAGCACGAACGCAATGTACCACTTCTCATCCCATACCCAAACGAAACCCACTGTCAAGTTGACATGAGACTGAAAAAAGCTGTCTCTTCCCTTTTTTGCGTAGCAAATACTGTAGCAAGTGGCTATGGTCTACTTTGTGCTCTTGTCTGTTTCCAAAATCACCCAAAAGGTAGGTTCTTAGTCTGCCTTTAGCGACTTGGCAGTATTAGAAATGAATTTTTTGTGGTAATCAATCTACTATCATCTATTTCTACCATGCAATGCTACGTGCTGTATTGTATTACGTGTGTATGTACGTGAGTAACGAATATGGGGCAACATTAGGAGGAAGAGGTATACCACGACGCGAGAGGGCTGTAGCATTGGCCGTTTTTACAACTCCACCGGCCACCGCCGCCGGGTGGTGGCACCGTACTTGTAGAAAACAACGGGCAGGGGCGTCATCACCAGTGCAATGACGGCCAGCACGGTGTTGCCGCCGCCGTAGTCGAGGGCGGCATAGAGGGGCGCGCCGGCGAGAGGCAGAAACGCGCCCATAATAGACATGGCGGTCCGGTTGGCGGCGACGGCCGAGGCGGCAAAGGGCGTGAAGGCGTCGACCAAATAGGTGACGACGGGGATAAAGATGCCAATGATACCAATACCAAAGAACAAGAGGCTGATGACGGGACAGGACCAGTGGACTCGTTCCTGGGTGGACCAGCCATACCAGAACAAGGAAATGGGGACGCAGGCGGCGTAGTAGACGCAATGGGGCAGGCGCATTTCGGGTTCGTAGACGCCATTGTTTTGTTTTGTGAGCTTGGCAATGGTGCGGTCGTTTGTGGCCATGATGAGAGCGAGGCCAAGCTAAGCTGTTAGTTGGGGGTGGAGGGGGTGGGAAGGGGTGACAGGGCAATATGCCGAAAAGACGAGGTACTTACAATCATGCCGATGCCGACTGTTGGGGGTCTGTCAGCACTCTTATGATTGTAATATGGTTATTCTGCTGGGTCTTTGGAGAACGTACACGGAGCATAGGCGAGCCCGGCGACGGAGACGTTCCAGCCGTACAAATCACCAAAGACGGCCGGGATGGTGGTAAACATGAGGTACAACATGCCGTACATGGTGGCAATGTAAAAGGACAGCAGTGATGCAATGGCCGAGCGCGTCAGCAACTTGATAGGGCGGATGATGCTGCGCAGCAGGACGTCGCGCGTGCTCGTCTTGCGGTTGAGCAGAGGGTAGAGGTCGGCCCGGCCCGAGGACTTGCGCATGCGGGCCGCCTTTTTCTGGAGGACGCGGGGCGCGTACGTCTCGGGCATATACAGAGTAAGGCCGGCATTGGTGGCGCCCGTGACAATCAACAGCAGCCAGTAGGTCCAGCGCCAGTTGAGGTACTCGACGATAAAGCCGCCGCAGATGGGGCCGATGGCAGGGCCGACGCTCTGGGCCATGGTGATGAGGGACATGGTGAAGGTGCGCTTCTCGACGGGGAACAGGTCCGCCACCATGGCCGGCGCAATGGTCATGACGGCCGAGCCGCCGATGCCGGCAAACAGTTGCATGACAATGAGGGCGGGCATCGAGGGCGCGAGGGTGCCGCCGAGCAGCCAGGCATCGAAGAACCAGGTGGCTAGAATGACGACAGGGTAGCGGCCGTACACTTCGCTCAGAGGACCCAAGAACAGCGGGCCAATGGCGTAGCCAAGGACATAGATGGTGACCATGAAGGAGCCGACAATCTCCGAGGACTCGTGCAGCTCGGCCATGGTTGCAGCGATGCCGGGGGCGACCATGGACGAGGCCAGCGGGCTGAGGGTCGAGATGATGCCCATCATGGTCATAATGTAGGATTTTTTCCAAGCGGAGAAGTTGCGCGGGTTGGCCGGGTCGTCGAGCGAGTCCCAGCCGACGAGACCGTGGTCGGGGTCCATCAGCGCCAGGGGTTCGGCGGTGATGCCTTCCGTGGCCGTGGCGGTGCCGTCCGAGCCGTCAGAGCCGCTGCGGTCCGGGTTGTAGTCCTCGAGGGCGGCCATAGCGTCGTCATTGTCGAGCTGGCGCCCATCGTTTTCGGCAGACGCAAGGACGGACAACGGACGTTTTCGGCGCGAGCGAGGGAGTGGCGGGGCTTTGCTTCGTTTTGTTTTTCAAGGTCGATGTCCGGGTCGATGTCGCTGGCATGTTTTGTGCATTGGGGCATACTTCTTGCGTCTGGTCGTGTTTCCCTTTTTGTGTTTGCTGGTAATGGTGACGAGTCTGCCTCTGTTTTCTTCCGTAAGAACCCCATGGCGAAGACGTGCACCCCTGTGTGCGGTCGTCTTGATGTTTATTTCGAGATATCAGGCGTCCACTCTGTCGAACCTGAGAGCCTGAGACGACAATGTGAGTGAAGTGAATGTATCTGGAGAATATCCAGTTTGAATTCAACCGACCGGGTCGGTGTGGTCCGAAGATGATAAAAAAAATAAAACAAGACAGAAAGGCAAAAGAAAGACAAAAGAAAGACAAAAGACGGTAAAGACTGACGGAAAGAAACGGAACGGTCACCGTCACTCACAGTCCCACTGTTCAGCTGCTCTGCCAGCACCAACAATCTTCATATCGACGTAGTAGAGTATTTTTTCCGTTCCTTTCTTTTCTTCTTTTCTCGGTCTTCTTGCCTCCACTCCGGCTCCCTCCACTCCCTCTGCCGTGCCGAGTAGCCACGCATAGTATATAAGCGGTCGTCGTGGCCGCCCATTGACCGAGTCGGGTCTAGTGGCAGACGCCCCGGATGATGAGAACCGTAGCGCGGCATACTCTTCGTCTTCGAGTGTGGGGCCGCCCGGGCCATAAATACCCCAGCCCCGGACCACCTGCCGTAGCGGTGGTCAGTAGTTACACCCCAGAAGTGGAGGCAGGGACCAAGGTGCAGCCCATGTCGTGGCTAAGTATCCGTTTGTTCCCATGACTGTGTTTTGTACAGGTCCCATTGGTTTTGTTCTGGCGGCGCTTCTGGCATAACCGTGCTTGCTCGACGACACTGTCGTAATGGCCTCGACTCTCCCTCAAACCACTGACTCGCGTTTCATATGCGTGCTTCTGGTGTCCTTGCGCCGTCGGTTTGACTTGTCCCATTGCATATTGCATCCAAGATCGCCTTGACAGAGGATGCACATCTCCGGTAGAGCTCGGCCGAGCACTGGACACATGGCCTAGAAGTGTGCCAGGAGACTGCACCTTCTGAGGGTCAGAGAAGCGTCCCCGTGTCTTTGTCCAGCATATCTGATGGACAGAAGTGAGGCCTAACGTCGAGAGTTGTCAAGAATGAGACGAGACTTTGCGAATCTTCGCAGCATGATTGCGAAAAATATGTGCTGCAGGGATTTCGACTGTAGCCACCGGTCGACTGCTCGGCAACAGAGGAAAGATGAGGTGACTATGTTGTCGCCATGCTGCGACGGACAGCGGCACTTCCGCCTTGCAGTTGTGAATACGTTGTGTATAAAACGTTTTGTTTGCATTCAAAACAAGACGCAAGGCTGCTTCGATGCCTCCTTCCCCAATGGCCAGACTCAGTAAGCTCGACCTTTAGATGTCACTGGGTCACGCGTTGCGCCCCGCTTTTTACAGCTCCTGTTTAATGGGTTTCTGGTGCCTAGGGCGCGTCCCAAATGGGCAAGTGCGACACGCTGTCCGACATCGATAGCACAAAGCGAAGAAAAGAAATAGAAAAGACAGAAAAAAACGACATCCAATCACGACGGCGATGGGCAACCAACTTCTGCCTGCTCGATGACTTATGACTAACGACTATAAATACTCGAAACGACCTCGACAAAAGGGCCTGCGTCTCCTCCGCTCCCCAAGTAAATGCTACACTGCGGCATCCGACGAGCCGCTCGCCTCTTTTTCTCTTCTCCGCAACGGCTGCTCCTCTCCACCGTCCATTCTCAATCACACGTCTCCAAGATGCCCTCGCCCGCAGCGGCGCCGGCAAAGCGCAAGATTGCCGACCGTAGCAGTGGCAGTTCGGTGGTCACCGGCGCCAACAGCAACGCCCACGACCCAGCCATCTCTCCACCCCCCACAAAGCGCAAGACCCAGGCCTCCGTCTCCAAGACTGTCGTCGCCAACTTCTTCACGCCCGCCTCCCAGAAACCGAAGCCGCCGAAACCCCCGCCGAGCCAGGTGACGTGGGAGGAGCGGGCTCCGGCCGAGGGCCAGCCCACCAGTCTGCTGGTGGCCACGTTCGGGGGCGGGGCACGACGACAGCCTGTCATCGCGCCGATCAAAGTCGCTGCGTTCGACCTCGACTCCACCCTGATCACGACCGCCTCGGGCAAGAAGCACGCCGAGGGCGCGGGCGACTGGGCCTGGTGGGACCGGCGGGTGCCGGAGCGGCTGCGGGCGCTGCACGACGACGGGTTCCAGGTCATCATCTTTTCCAACCAGGGCGGCCTGGCCTTGCACCCGGATCCCAAAAAGGATGCGAAGAAGAAGAAGAACGATACACAAGACAGGGTGGCCGACTTCAAGAAAAAGTGTGCGCTGGTGCTGACGGACCTGGGCCTGCCGGTGACACTGTATGCGGCGACGGGGAAAGACCGGTTCCGCAAGCCGAGAACAGGCATGTGGGAGGAGATGGTACAAGACGTGGGGAGTCGCATGGCGAGCCACGATCGCGACAAGTCCGCGAGCGCCACCGAGGACAAACAGGACAAGGTGGGCGCCCGCGCGGACCAGAAGCAGGACGCACAGACGGTCGACGTTGACAACAGCTTCTTTGTTGGCGACGCCGCCGGCCGTCCGGCCACCGTGCGCAACGGCAAAAATGTCCCCAAAGACTTCAGCTGCAGCGACCGCAACCTGGCCGCCAACGTGGGCGTGCGCTTCGAGACGCCGGAAGAGTACTTTTTGGGCGAGGCGCCGCGGCCGTTTACGCGGGCGTTTGACCTGGACGACCACCCATTCGAGGATCCGAGTCCAACAACGGCCACGGCCACAACAGCGGCAAGCCCCTTTGTCAAGGGCACCGCCCCAGAACTGGTCGTCTTCTGCGGCCCACCCGGAGCCGGCAAAAGCACCTTTTTCCGCACACACCTGGCCCCGCTCGGCTACGAGCGCGTCAACCAGGATACCCTCAAGACGTAGGTCCGCTTCCGCCCGCACCGGGGCCATGTTGTCTCCTTGGTAAACCGTCCTGTCTAACACAACACCTCCTGCTCCAGAAAAGAAAAGTGCCTCAAGGCTGCGGCGGCTCATCTTCAGGACGGCGCCTCTGTCGTCGTCGACAACACCAACCCGGATCCGGCGACACGTGCGCTCTGGGTCGACCTCGCCAAGAAGGCCGGCGTGGCCGTTCGGTGCGTGTGGTTCACGACCAGCCCGGCCACGTGCGAGCACAACGACGCGGTGCGCGCGCTCAACAAGGCGCTGAACCCAGACAACCGGGAGGCGCTGCCGCGCATCGCGTTCAACGGCTTCTTCTCGCGCTTCCGGGAGCCCAAGCCGGCAGAAGGGTTCGCCGACATTACCCAAGTGGCCTTTGCCTTCCGCGGGACCGCGGCTGAGTATGCCATGTGGGGGAAATATTGGTTGTAGAAACATCCAGGGCATACGAAGTATTATGCTGAGAGTAGCAAATGAAACGAGAAAGAAGAAATAAAGTATGTTTAAATTTTTATTTTTTATTTTTATTTTTTTTTTTTGAGTTGAGAAAAATGGCATAAGATCTTTTTCTAAAAAGGCACACTGCCTGTGTCGGCTTTATATGTGATGGGTATGGTGTATGAATATATACAAAGGAAAAACTGAAACAAAAAAAAGGTATCTATGTACTCATAAAGGAATGTCGGGGGAATACTATATAAAAAGGGGTATCTTGGGCAAAAAATCAACAACCTTTTTTCTGTTCAGAAGAAAGGTCTGCCGTGAGGCGTGGTCTCATGACAAACAGAGCCGGGCCTGGGCCATTTGCATATCCAAAATGCAGGCCAGTCAACGACTCCGTACAAACGTCATCATTACTGTCTCCTTCTTTCTCGTTCGTTTTTGTCCTCCAATCGTGTGACAAATTACCTCCGCTGCGTCACCGTTTCGACTTGTGTTTTCGATTTTTTTTCCCTTCGCATTTGTGTCGTGTTGGATTTTGTGGTATAAGTTTCGGGTTTGTCGTCATTATTAAACAATATCGCCGAAAACGACGATATCGAGTAAGGGTCATAGTGTCATTATTTGCGGTGACGGACACGGTCAGCCAGACCGCGCAGAAACCGCGACATGGCGTGCTTCTCGCCGTGCGCGCCTGAGGGACCCGGAAACCCGGGCACACCGTGCTCCATGTACTCCACACGGTCCATGGGGCCAACAATGTCCTCGTCGCCGAGGCCGGGGAACTTGCCCTCCGCGTTGTCCAGGATCTGTGGGATCACGCACGACACGTCGTGGTGCTGAACAGGCGGTAGCATGCCGGGCGTCGCTGCGCACTCGCGGGCATCGCTGCCAGCGCGTGTCAGGACATTGGTAATATGCACTGTCGCAGCCTGGTGGGCGCGCTGCCACTCACGCTCCGTCTCCGCCCACTTGGCCTCGGTCAGCATGTATGTGTTGGACGTCGTGCCGTAGTGCTCGCCCGTGCGCACAAGGTGCTTGGCGTAGTTGATGCGCGCCTGCGCCCAGTCCTCGCACAGCGCGTGCAAGGCCTGGGTGTCGGTCGTGTCGTCCTCAGCCAAGTGGTACGGCTTGGGTAGGATCGTGTAGTTAGCGTGACCCAGACGATCGCACCACTTGTCGTGCGGCTCCTGCGCAACAGACACCGGGACGGAGATCGGCGCAGACGTCGCTGGTGTAACCGCCGAGGCTGACGCATTTTGCACGTTGGTCGCACCAAAGGGTACGTAGAACGAGGCCGTGGAGAATTGGCGGCGCAGAGGCGGAGGCTGCATTACTTCGGCCGGAGACGTGGGGGCTGTGGCTGCAACACTGATCCCGAGGCCCGTAGGCGCTGTTGGTGATAGCGGCGACAAGGACATGGCCGGGATGCCTGCGTCCGCAACAGGGCTGGTAAGGGGAAAACTGGAAAGACCATCGACGCCGGCAGGCGAGGTCACGGAAGACGCGACGGCGGGCGACTGAAGCGGCGAGGTCTGCAGAGACGGAGGCGGTAGGGGCGAAACAGGTTGCTGACGCTGTATGGCACTGCTCTCGGTCATTAAAGGTGGCAACAAGGGCGTGGCGGCCTTGGTGCGATCGCGCTCGAGGCTCGACAGAGAATCGTCCTCCGGCTCCTCGTGTGCGCTGCCGGAGGTCGGAAAGTGCTCGATGCTCTCCGTGCTACCGTAGTAGGAAGAAAGAGTAGGCGTCAGGATTGGCGCAGGCTCGAGGACGGGGGCCGGCTGGCCGGCCGACAGAGAAGATGAACGGCTAGAGGGCTGGCGAGACAGCGACGGTTCAGAAGCCGGAGCGGCCATGAGGTTGGCGTAGTTGCGCCGGGTGGTATGCGACTTGCTGCGCCACCGGGACAGTGCGTGGATGTGCGAGCCGAAGCGGAGGGTGAGACCGGAAAAGGCCGAGTCGTGTGTTGCATTGGATGCACGCGACATGACTGAAGCGGTGCTGCTGGCACGGTGGCGGTGTCGCTGAACAGAGGGCTCGTTGGCGGCGGCCTCCGAGTCACTGACAAAGCCGAGGTCGTAGATGAAGTCTTGCTGGTCATACGAAATGTCGTCACGGCCGTGTGAACAGGGCTCGTCACACAAACAGCGGTAGAGATGCGAAGTGCGGTGAGACAGTGTGAAGCCATCGCCATACTCGTGCTCCTCGGCAACACGCTCCAACAGATGTTCCTCTTTCACGTCCGGCAGCGGCCGCTTCACGGGGGCGCTCCCAGCCAGAGTCGCAGCACCAGCCGCAGCGACAACAGCAGCAAGGCCCGTGGCAGGGGTCGGTGACGCGGGGCATTCAGAGACGGAGGGTGACGGAATCGATAGTGGCAGATCGAGCGACGATGTCGAGCTTGAGTAGCGCAGGTGGCCAAGGCCACCGCTGCGGTGTGAGAAGGTAGGCGTGGCAGGCGAGGTGATGTCCGACATGGACGCGTTGTCGACAAGGAACAGGCCACCGTAGGCGTTGTTGGTGTTGTTGGCGCCGGCTTTGACAGTTATACTGCCGTCGACCATCTCCGTGGTTGCGTACTGTCCATCTTCCAGACGCTTGCGCCCCTCCACCAGCTGGGGAAGAACCAGGGGTTTGAGCTTGGCCGGCATGATAGAGCAGCAACAAGCAGCGTCGGCTGCTGCGTGTGCGCGCTGAGTGAGAAAAGGGGTCGCGTGTGCTTGTTGACTATTTTCTGCAGTTGGTGTGATGGGTCGTGAGGGTGGTGGTGTTTTATTAGTATTGCCTCGAAGCAGGCAAGTAGCTGCGCCGGAAGCGTTGGATGAACAACCACGACAGGGGAAACGTCAGTGAGTCGTAGACCGAACAATAACGGACTTGGCCCCCAAACCAAACAAGACCAATATACCGCCCGTCAATACAGCGGTCAAATAAGAGTCAATATAAAGAGGCGGTTCATAAAGCAATAGAAAATTGCCCGAGACGCGGGGTATGGCCTTTGAGCGTTGAGCTGGTTTGTTGATTGTTGGTTGTTTGGTTGTTTGGTTGTTGTTGATGGTGCAGCCGGCAAAATAGCCAAGGTTGTCTTGAACGAGAAATGAAACAAAAGGAACAAGTGGAAAGCAGTCATACGCAGCAAAGAAAGACGTGCGCGCAAAGCAACGAAGAAAAGACACTACCAACCCCAGAGTTCGTACGGTGCCTGCGTCTTATAGAAAGTTGCGATGGCAGCGGGCCGTTTGCCGGGGGGTCAAGACAGCCACAAACATCAAACCGTTGAAAGAGGCGTTCCGTTGTCGTCGAGCGATGAGTCGTTGAGGCGGCAGCAGCGTAAAGGCAAATGCAAAGCGGATACGTCGCAACGGGATATGGGATTGGGTTCGTTCGTTTGACGAGGCGGTCTCCTCCAGCGTTTGATACGTTTTGATACGTGGTTCGCCAGAAACGTCCAGGGTAGAAAAGCGAGCCAAAAAAGTGACCTGGAGTCTTTGGAATGATGCCAGACCACGTGTAAGTCGTCGGGCAGCCGCTTGCTTGCTTGCCCTCTATGTACCTTGCTGCGCTGTTTTTCTTTCTTTTTTTACCTTGGTCTGTCTTTTGCTCTTCTCCTTTTATTGAGTCGTCGATTGCTTGGCGACTCGCTTCAGGCCCTTTTGAATTCGAAGCGCGCGTGACAGACTGAGGGTCGTATGCATTTGCTGCGTTGGCCAGGGCGAGAGACCAGAACGATGGGCGGATGCAGGTCAGACCCTCTGACGACCCGTTGAAACGCACACAAATACTGCTGTACAAGCCACAAAAAGCAGCCGGGTGTTGCAGCGGGTTTCGGTTGGTGTTCTGGCTCGAGTCGTCTCCTGTTTGTCGACGGCGACCGGTAGTAATGCGTGGGGGTGCTGGCAGTGTTTGCTGTAAGACTCTGTGGGCGACAGCCAGGAGCTGTTTTGCTTGTTTGTGCTTTTTGCGCCCCACGTGAGCCACAAAAGGCGGGCAAACGAGTCGAGATCGGGTGCCCACGATGACTGGCCAGCGGTTGTCCTGCAGGATGCTGATGGGAGAATGGGGGGATGCGGGCGATGAGGTGTGACAGCAATGACTGGCTGTGGACGACGATGTTGGAGAAAGAAAAAAAAGTACAAAGTAAAAGAGAAGAGAGAGGAAGAGGAGGGGGAGAGAATATGAGTGGATTTGGAAAGAAGTAGAAGCTAGGCGCAGTTGGTCAGAGTCAACAAAAGAGGAAAGAGGTATACAAAACACACATGGCAAACAGATAGACAGGGAAAGAGCTTTCCAGTCCAATGGCCACACATAACCGAATATGGCGACAGGGCCAGTCCAGACCTTTCCTTTGACCGTTCTGGCGCCGGCGACTGTTTGTCTCCGGTGTATTTTTATGGGGACCTTGTGCTGGAGATCATCGACCAAAACAAACCGGCGTGGCACCGGAGCTGGCGGAAGAAGGGGAACAAGGAGGGTAAAATAGAGAAACGAGACAACAGCAGTGGCCACAAGAAGAGAAAACGAGAGGGAAAGTACAAAGTACAAGCCAGATACGTGATGCATGGACAGGCGAAATAGGCAGGAAAGAAACCGAGGGAGCCTGTAAGGAAAGAGCCACGGCGGGAAGACAAGAAGACATGCCCAAAGAGGCAAGGGCCACGACGACGCACGCAAAAGACAATCGACGTACGCGCAAAAACGACGGTAGGCAGAAACCAGAAGGCGGCAAAGAAGAAGAAAACCTCTCATCACTGCTGCTGACCGCAAGGGCATGGGGCGCTCCATCGGGGAAGAATAGCCACACGCCGCCAGGTGGGAATCAACGGGGTCCAGAGGCTTGGGATGAGCGCCATGGGAAGGAGGATGACGAGAGGCAGACCGACTGTCGAGAAGTGGCGGACGGCAGACGGCCGCCTGTGGGCCGTATTACAAACAAAAAACATGCCCCCTTGTAACCTGACTGGCGGGTGGCATCCTTCAGTTGTCGGCGGACCAGGGTCAGGGTCGGGATGACGGCTCACGCTCAGAAAAATCGCCCTAAAAAACCCTGCTAGCGGGTAAACAGTCGACAGTGGGAGGTGGCTTTCTACGTCGTTCCCTCTTTTTCTTCTTGTATCTGGCCAAGTCACGCGCTATACCGCAAATGGACGCGGTTGACCACACTATAGTTAGACGCCCGCCGCTTGTTCGCCATTTAGCACAGTTTTCACTACCTTTGCACATGCTTTGGCATTTGCCTTTGCACTTGCCTGCGCTTGCGGTCACTGGTTTCCTCTTTGGTTCTTGACGAAATACTACGGACAGCACCCACCCGCCCGCGCCTCGTGGTGGCCCCACCTTTGCATTGGCTGTGGCTGCCCGGAAGAGAATAAAAACTGGAGCACACTTCTTTTTACTCAGGTTCCGCCTTTGACAACCGGGTCTCGCTCGACATGGGTGGCCTGGCCAGCCGTGTGCACAGAAGTACACAGCGTCATACGACGAAGTGCCTTTTTAGGTGCAAGGGATGTATGTTTGTACTGCGTACTTTGGTTGCAAACCCGTCTCTTCCTTTGCCTTTAGGGGTGGTCCTTCCGTACGATGTATTACTCAATATTGAACCTCCTTCCCAGACGGGAACTCTGGACGCGGGGACGGAAGGAGCAAGGAACGATGAAGGAACCAGGATGCAAGGAAAGAAGGATGGCGCACGGAGCATTGTGGCTGGAAAGGAGACGCCAAAAAGGAGACGCCAAAAAAGCCTCTCTAAAAAACAACGCACCTTTCACAGTACAGTCAGAAATCCTCCCATGAGAGTAAAATACAAATTGTAAGAAAATGACGTTTGGAAGAGTCGCGGTGTGGGAAGACCCATGGGCCTGCATGCTTGTGGCTGCAGTGCCGATGAAGAGCGCGCCCGTACCTTACATGAAGAGGAGCGAACGCGCCCACGGACCTTCAGGGAAACATTGGGGCCTATCCTCCATCTCAGGATGCTTTTCAGGATTGTCAGGATTTCCAAGCCGTTCAGTGTGCTTTGTGTGTGTATGTACCTGTGACCATGGACTAGGCCCTTCTCCAACCCCTGCGTACCTGTGCTGCTGTGTCCTGGCCCTGTCGGAAGCCGTTGCCGACGTAAGTGGCTGCCTGCAAGGACCTAATCAGGGCATGGCTCCGATCTGGGCCTGCATGGCGAGTTCCAACAAGGTGACAGCGAAGCTGCACGCCGAGAGACGAGCGGCTGGTCGTGGAAGCGGAACAATGGACAGGGACAAGCCATTGTTTTTTACAGTTGGGCATCAATAGGCTGTAGAATGATATTAACTGTTTAAGGGGAAGAACCGGAGCAAGAGCGAAAGAACGCAAGAACTCAAGAACTCGATAGCAAAGAACAACAAGGCGCAAAATGTGGCTTGTGGCTTGTGGCTTGGACATCCCTTGCGGGCGGGGAGGGCCGCACAAGGCAGAGACGCGAGGAGGGAGACACATATGCTCGTAAGCCCTAGCGCACGCAGAAGCAAACAACGAAATAGTCAGTAGTAGAATCACCAGTGAAAAAAAGTCGCCGTTCTAGAGAAGTAGGAGCCTGTGGAATTTAGTGTCCTGAATACGACAGACGGCTCACACGGAGTACTCCGTCTCTTCAAAGACGTACTCGTTAATGAATACTCATCTACTGGGCAAAGATGTAAACGGGAAAAGACAATGTCCTATTGGTGTATGTTAAACAAATGGACCCGTTTTTAACTGGTGGAGACGCGGGACTGGGGAGGGAAAAGAAGAAAAACATAGACGGGGATAAAAAAAAATCGGAGCAAAAAAGGGCAACCCAGGAGGCGAAAACTCTAACAGTGACTTTGTCGTGCACCAATATCACACATAATATTAAGTACCTTTGGTTTTACAAATACGACATTTTGCCGTTCTTTTTTGGCCCTATTTTCGTCTTTTTTTTGTTCGTTGTTTTTTTCGTCCGTGGCAACACAATAGACCAGAAGCTGTTTTTACACTGACGAATGAATACCAGCAAAATATATCCATCATATTACCGATACGAACTGAACAACATCATTCCGAAGCTCCCTGACACAGTCAATAACAACCTTTGAAGCCGAAGAAGAAAATCACAGGCAATTAGGCCTATCTAAAGAAAGAAAACAACCGAGTCTAGTGGCGGGGAGGCACCCAAAATTTGTTTTCTTCCCCCACAACAGTGTGCGAAGAACAACACATACAGAAAGATAACCGTCCATCGTCACAAAAAACTAAACTGTCCGTACAAATTATATCTTAATATTGTCTGGTGGAGACAGACACTCATCGTTCTCCTGCCAGAGGTACATGATATGTACTACTTCCTTTCGCAGCAGTATGCCTGTATACATACGGTCTCTGCGTACAACTGAAATTTTTGAGTTGAAGAGACAAGACGTAGGGCCACAGCATGGATCGCAATATATCACCAGCCCCAGATAATGGAATTTAACCGACAAAAATAATATGAGAATGGCGTGCCGCTCATATATTATCCACGTGAATGTACTCGACCCGGAAGCACAGCGTAAATTGGATTTCGGCTGGTGACACGTTTTTTTCTGTGAATCGTTCTCTCGGCTCGTGCGATCCTTGCTTCCGAGTCGATAAATGAGGGCAATATAGACAATGGACATGTACG